CCACCTGCCTCCAAATTGCAGTCCCTAAAGACAACAGTCAAGATCAACTCACTGCTCTGAAACTAGACCAAGAAGCCTGAGATCTATTGCCCTATGCCAGGGATGTAAAAATTCTACGCTTATCTCTGATCTGTGAGAGTTTGCACAAGAAAAGAGAAAAGATACCAGCTGCCTATAAAAACACAAAAGATGCTTTGCTAGATGTTGCTGTTTATCAGGCATAGTTTTTTCCTTTAGGTTAAAGAAGGTCAAATTATGCAAGATCCACAGAGGCACAGGAATTTCGGAACATGTAGAAGAAATGATCTACACGATTGAACACAAACTGTTTTTGTAAAAGCATTTATTGTTTGTTCCCTGCTGGTGAGCTTAGAGCCATCAGTTGTAGTAGATGAAAAGAAACAGCTCAGGAAAAACAAATTAGCAGTGTTTCTGTTTCTGGTTGTTCTTTTCCTTGCTATAAAAGGCATGGGAATGCTAGGTCCTGCTGTGTCCTGAAATCTTATCTTGCAAGCAATCCTTGGGAAGCGTCAGTGGTTATCTTCCACAGTAATAGTTACTTACTGGGAACAGCAGAAGTGGTTGCCAGCATTTAGTCCTCTCGTTGTTGACTCTACTTACCCTGCAAGCCTCCTCTGAACTCCTGTAGTCTCGCAGCAGTAAGTTGTGTAGCTTGGCTGACACCTTGTAGGAAGATGCTCCACATAGGATGAGTCTAGGCAGAAAAAGTGATAGGCTATCAAAAAAGATGGGTGAGTTTGGCTCTCTTTGGGGTTAAAAAAAACAAAACCATAAACTGCAAGTGACCTCTGAAGCCACTTTGGCCCTCCTTTCACTGTGGGGAGCCTCTGGTCATCATCCCTCACATGCTGCTGCCCCAGCTGCATGTATCAGTGTGTACTGCCTCCCCCATGGCGCCCTCAGCTACCTGAACTAGTATAGAGCCCAGCAAAAGTGGGCAGAGGCATTTGTGCGGATTATACATCTCAGTAACCCAGTTTGTGGTTAGTAACCTTTTTTTTTTAAATCTTAAAAACATCATCTGTTCTTTATGCTGAGAAATGAAGTATTTTTCATTACCATGTAACATGGGTCTTGGTAAAATCAGAAAATAAGCTGTCTGCACAACCCTTAGGTTTTATACCACGTTGTGGTGCTCTGTGGCTGTTCTGAACAACAGTGTGGCTGGTGACTCTTCAGCAAGGTAGTGGTATAGATTATGGTCTGATGGATCTTAACTGACTGATGAAAAGTGCACGTTCCTTCAGTTAACAGGACCACAAAGGTGACAAGGATCAAAGCCTGTAAAGGAGGAGCTAAAGCTGTTCAAACACCAAGATGAAAAGGTATGTTTGCGTGTTAGATCCCTTCTTTTTCTCACTTCTGTGCTTCACTGAAGAGGAAGGCAATTGCTTTAGGGACAAGAGCCGTGCCCACCTGAAGTGGCGTGCAGGTAAAGCAGGGCCAAGGGCTCGGTGGGTCCCGCAGGTCTAGTGAATGCGATCATTCAGTGTGGAAGCAGCACTGCCTCTTCAAACAACTCGGTGAGGTTTCTTGTGCAAGAGCAACGCCTCCTGCACAAGAAAGGAGCGGAAAGGCAGGAGAAGCAGTGTAGCACTAACCCTTATTAAAAACACAACAAACTCTAATGCCTGAGATGCAGGTGATGGCAACAGCAGCCCTATGGCTGAGCATCCCAAGGTCCTAAAAGGGGAAGGGAAAGTGAGTGGAGAGGCGGTATCTTACTGTCCTGGCAAGGGCTGTTGGTGGCAGTGTGTGTCAGTCAAGAAGGCAGCGTGCCCAGACAGTTGTTAAAGCAGAGTCTTCAAATGAAGATGAAGTCCTGCTTGGAACAGGCTTTCCTGAATCACGTGAAGGCACTAGAGTGGAACTAGGAATCAAAATACAGCCTTTTTCCTTGCAATTTGTGGAAGGATTTCCCCAGGAAAATAGCATAGGCCAGTATCTTTGAACAAGCCCTGACATTAAACAGTGGTGGATCTTTGAGTATAAAGTCTGCTGGAGCTTCTGTGTGGGTGCATGTTCTCTGAGCTAGGCCAGCCACAGAGGTACGGTGTTCATGCTTACAGGTAACCGCTGTGGCTGGGGGCGGGGCAGTGGTGCCTGTGCATCCAAGGGCTGTTGGGTGAAAATGCACCCTCTGCAAGCTCTGCTTCCATACAGCTGTGGATCTCATCCCACTGGGGAAGCACCGCGTCATCCTGTGGTGTGCTTGGGAGACCCCAAGCCCTACCTGGCAGTGGGTGCCTTGCTGGTCTGAGCCTGCAGGATGGCTACACCCTCTTGCCAGCATCCTCAAGGCCGTCACGGTTGCCCAACAGGCAGCTACAATTGCAATCTTCATATTTTTATTTCTGAGGCAGCAGAAACAATGAACAAAAGTAGAACTGGGTGAAAGCAGAGGCCTTCTGGAGGGTTCTTGTGGGTTCATAAGAAGGGAGATCTGGGAAGAGCTGACCAGGAGAAAAAGCAC